GGGACTGCAGGACTACACTACCACACCTTTTGTTTTTTAACCACCGCATGTGACGAAGCATCCTCTGTTGGCAGTTCACCTTGGCCACCACTGGCAGGCACCACCCAACTACCATTCACTATGTGTGCCACATCTTCTACCCTGAGGCAGGTTAGGGCAGAACTGCCGGCCCGGCACAGTGACAATGTAACATGGCATACACCTGCAGCCTGACATCATTTGTCCCATGACTCCTCACCGGCTTTGAGTTACAATTTTATCCCCGCCTAACTCCTGAGGGAGAAACAGCTCTCCTGTTTTCTTCTGGGGTCGCCCACTCAAAACAGATAGTTCCACAAAGCCTGTGATAGCTCCAGGCTGGGGTCAGTTTCTCTGTCTTCACATCAGGGGGTGAGGGAGGACAATTTATTTTGGGCAGTACCATCTGTCACTAACTAAGGCAAAGGAGAGGGCCAGAGGGTGCCATGTAAAACCCAATCTCAAGCCATGCATTCGGAGGAGGGCATTATTTTTGGTTTTCTTAAAATGAGGATTTGATTTTTAGAGAAGACACTAGAACATTAACTCTTAAGTGAGAAAAATATGAGACAGATGGAAAGAAAGAAAACACTTGGTTCTGAGGCCCTGGGATGTCAGACTTCACAGAAGATGTTGGTACATAATTGACAACGTTAAGTCTCATTCCTAACTCCAAAATCACCTCATGCGGGGAATTTCCCCTCAGCATCCTTTTGGTCAGGACATCACAGAAAGGAAAATAAATCAGGCACAGAGAGACCATACAACATGCTCTCATTTGTATGTGGAGGTAAGGTTGATCCCAAGGAGTAGGAAGTAAAGCAGTGTTTGCCAAAACCTGGACAGGCTTGGGGGCACTGGAAAGGGAGTTTGATCTGTACAATCAAAATGAAAAATGAAAAAAAAGAAACGATGCTGGCTAATACTAACCCAGGATTTACCATGTGCCCGGCCCCAACACCTCATATGTACTAACTCATCTTCCCACAAACACTGGGAGGTTAATAGGATCAGTGTCCCCATTTTATGAATGGGGAAACTGGAACACAGTGATCATGTAACCTGCTCAAGGGCGCACCCCTGGCTAATGTGGAGCCAAGGACCACACCAAGCCTCTGGGCTCCAAGTCCACTTTTGTTCTCCTTGTTTCTGAAGTTGGAAGCTGTGAAGGATGCTGCTACTTCTGGAAACACTTGGGTTAAAGTCTTAATTTCTGCTTCATTGGGTCATTTTTCTCTGCAGCTGCTATGGTTTAGATACGAAGTGTCCCCAAGAGGCTTATATGTTGAAAGCCTGTGCCCCCTCCCACCCCCCCACCCCCCACTACACACACAGATGATTGGACCATGAGGATCTGCTGTTGCCAGTACGGAATGGCATTATTGGGGTGCTGGTGGGTGGGGCTTGGCTGGGGCAAATGATCACTCAGGTCTTACCTTTGACAGGCATTTTGTCCCTCACCATTTCCTGTGTTGCTCTCTACTTCCTGGCCGCCATGAGGTAAGGAGATTTCTCTTGCCATGCCCTTCTGCCATGAGGCTCTGCCTTACTTAGGTCCAGTGACACAAAGCCAGCGGCCATGCATGGAAAACTCTACACTGCAGGCAGAAGTCAACCTTTTCTCCTTCACACTGCAGAAGCCATCTTCTCCACAGGGGCCTCTCCTGCTTAACACCTTCCCAGTATTCTTTTTGGATCCCTTTGCTGACCCCTTTCTAGGGGTCACTACATGTTGCTGTCTCTTAGGGTTCCCCTCCAGGCTCCCTCACTAAGTGATCATCCTCATACTTGCCCACAGGCTCTTGGGATGACTCTCTAGGTATGCTTCGCATCTTAGGGTTCCCTTCCACTGGACACCTACATCTCCAAGCCCCCTGAATACCTCAAGGTACCTCAGCTTAGCACATCCCGTGGTGTGCCCATGACTTCTTCCCTAAAGCCGAGTTCGGCCAGTCTGCCCATCTCAGAACCAGCAGCCCATCAGGTTCCAGCCAGGCAGGACAGCATTGAACCTCCTTTGTTCCTCACTCTCTCTTTTTATACCTTATCAGTACCACTCAAGTCACACTCAAACATCATTCCTTTCCATCTGCTATCCCTGCCTCAGCTCCCTCCCACTCCCGAGATGGTGCCACAGTGTTCTCCAGGTAGCAGCCAACATGGTATTTGGAAAGGTAGGTCTGATCCCTGAGACCCCTCAGGGGCTTCTCACTGCTCCCTAGATACTGCTGGACTCCCCTGTGGCCCTGTGGTCCTCTTCTCCTAAGCTCTCCTTTGGCCCAGGAACAGTTGAAGAGGGCAGGATCTGCTTCCGGGTGACCTGGGCAAAGCCTCCCTGGCCCTCAAACACAAGCTGGCTCAGCATTGAGCAGCCATCCGGTGATCTCTTTCCACAGGGCCTGGTTCTTCAGATAACCCCAGTCTCTCTGTCTCCAGAACACTCTGAGCGTGACTTCCCATCTCTCCCAGTCACAATGCCAGCCTCATGAAGGGGCTGCGGCTCAGAGACCCATCTCCTCCAGGATGACATGGTTTTGCATGGTGAGCGATTTGATATAAGGGAATTCAAAGCTTTCAACCCAGGCTTGGAATCGAGGTCCTCCATCCACCCCCACTTAAGGAGAGGGTTTCTGGAGTTCCTATTACCTGCATGAAGACTAGACAGCATCAGAGAAGACATAGGTGCCCTCCCCCACCTGACTGGGGGCTGGCATGGGTTATCTGTCTCAGGAAAGATTATCCTCACAATCTTTCCTCACAAGATCATGGCTGTCCCTTGGGCTCATTCAAACTCCAGATAGAATCATTATTAATGCGAGCTTATTTCTACCTCAGATTCAATCGTTCTCCATGGTCATCACTGACAATCCTTATCTATAGGAAAAGGGGGGTGCACAGGTTTCTGAATGGGACTGAGCCATGACTCCCTGCATGTGAGTAATATTAATGCCTTTTTCCTGTTAGGTGTCCTGGTCAGCATGTTTCAGTGAATTTTCAGAGGGAAGAGGGACTCCCTTTGTCTCTCCAAAGGCTAATCAGCTTCATCACTTCTGAACCAGTGTCTAAGACTAGTACCTGCCCCATAAGCATGTTTTCCACAAGTGAATGAGATGTTCTGTCCTTCTTGTGGTTTCATGAGGGCGTGACTGCTTAATTACATGCCCTCAAGACCAGGGCTCTGTCTCAAATCTTCCAGAAAGTGCTCCCTTTCTATCTGCCTCAGATCCACTTCCCACATGGTGTTCCCCACCCAAGCCTGCCGCTGGAATATTAATTTTCTAGCCTTGATCGTAAGTTCGATGTCTTCCCAGGATAAGCCAAATGGCTGCACATTCTTGTAGTCCATTGTTATTCTATACTGATCAGCACGGACGGTTATAATTATTATCCTGCTCTGTAATTCCAGTTGTAATTGCCGGCCTGCTGAGGTCTGAGTTGACTTGGATGATATGTGCCCATTGTCATCTGTGTGGCTGCCCCTGGAAACACAAGCAGGTGGGCTTGCCAGGGGGGCAGAGGTGCTCAGTGGGGCTCATCCTTTCCTCGGCTCTCGCTTAGAAAGCTGATGGGGATAGCAGAGGCACTGGGAGGGGGACCTGTCAGAGGCACTGGGAGGGGGAGCGGATTTGAAAGAAGCATCTACTACCTCTCCTAGCCCAGGACCCATCCAGGCTTGTGGAGCTAAGAGACTTCACACAGAGGACCTGGTACAGCCTCTGGCTAAGCTCTACCTCTCTCTGCCTTTTCACTTAGTGGCCTTGCCCAATGTAAAAAAAAGCCCTCTGCTGTCTGCGAGTCCCCACCCGGCCATGTGCCCGCTTTCTTCCGAGGAGTCTTCCTCGGCCATCTCCACAGCCCCCATGATGGTGCTGAGAGATCTCCAGACCCTGTCTCACCCTGGCCAGGCCTCACGTCAGACCCCACCCCAGCCCCCACTTCTCCCTGAACACAACAGACACCTTGGCGGCATCTCTGGGCCCTCACTGTGCTCACACACAACAGCCCAGAGAGACTGCCTTAGAGGTGTGAGTACGGGGGTGGGGGGTGGGGGGGTGGGGGGGGTGGATATGAGCACAAGGGGTATGTGTGAGCATGGGGCGGGGGTGAGCACAGGGGGTGGGGTGGGGGTGGGGATGGATGTGAACACAAGGTGGGGGTGTGAGCACTGGGCGGGGGTAGGCACGGGGGTGGGGTGGGGGTGGGCGTGGATGTGAACACAAGGTGGGGGTGTGAGCACTGGGCGGGGGTTGTGAGCATGGGGTGGGGGGAGGTGAGGACACAGCCCGCTCCCATACATCTCCAGCTGTAGAGAGAGAAGTCAGTTCCTAGGGGGCTGTCCTTTTTGCTCTGACATAAACATTTGTTCCAAAAAGAAGCTTCTTGGCATCTTAACACAACAACTTCAAGGGGGAAGTAAAACAAGGCCCCACGCAGACCATGAAGAGCCCCGTCTCCTCGGCACACTGTCCTTCCCAGTACTACCCATCTGAACACGGTCACAGAGACAAGACACAAAGGAATTATTTGGCAGAAATGCCCAGTTACCCATTTTTCCTCTCTTCCCATTGGCTCCTTTTTCACCCTTTGGTCCCTGGAGACCAGGCTGTCCATCGGATCCATTGTGTCCTGGTAACCCACCAACTCCTGGGGGTCCTGTGCCAAAGCATAGAATAGGGACCGTTAAAGACATCTTCACTGCAGGTGATGTGATTTCCTTTAGCCAGGGAGACAGGCAGCATCTATGGCGTCTCCCACATCTTCCTGCTCCCCCCCCCAACCTGCTTCTAGAACAAGGACAGGTGGAGGGTCTGGGGAGGGGGTCTCAAGTTAGGGACACAGAAAAAAAGCAAACATGCCGCCTCGCTCCTCCCCTCCACCACCTCTGGTCCTTGGATCCTGGAGCTCCAGACACCCATAGTTGCCCCTTGAACTAGGAAAATACAAAATGGGTACTTACCTGGTGGGCCAGGTGGTCCTACAGTGGAAAAAGGAATTTAGATGATAAGTCACATGAGTTAGAAAGAAACCAGAACCACAAACTCCCACTTTCCTTATATGTCTTAAGTACCTGCTAAGGAAACAACCCCACACCATTTATTTACAGCTTATTAGGTTTCCCACAAAGGGCCTTACGAACAACCCAGCAAAGACTCATTTGCTAATCAAGCCATTTTGCTTCCATTTCAACAGACCTAGAATAATTTCTGAGCTGGTTTTCATTGTAGATTCATATATCAATTATCTTTGAAGAGGTCAAACTAATTATTTTGGGACCAATGGAAACATGATGGCCCTGTGCAGCCCCAGAACAGGGCAGGTGTCAGCACATGGAAGTTCTGTCACTTCAGAGCAGAACACTGGCTATCACTAGAACACTTCCAAGAGCTTCCCCGAGCCACTTTGTCTCCTCCAGGTCACCGAGGAGTAACCCAAGCACAGGCTGGCTTTATGGACCCGTATTTTGTTGCATGAAATAGCCTGAGAAAGTCTGAGAGCTCAGGTCAGGTAACAAATACCTTCTTTAGTGTGAAATGATCCAAGGACCTAAGTGGTTTGGATGAATCATTTACACACTGAGCAAATGATTTTGCTTCCAGAAATAGGCATGTCTTATTGTCAGCTAGACTGAGCACTTGGGCGAGCCAGTGAGGCTGGGATATGAGAGGACTGAGTTCCCTGTGTTTCTCTAGAGCATACATAATGATTCCCAGTCTGAGATTTTGACCATTCACAAGGCAAGCATTTCTAAGCATATATCATGCGTACCCGATTCCATTAAGGAATATCAGTTCTGGTATCTGCTATGTTCATAGTCTATATGAGGACAGGAGACCTCTTGAAATCGCAAAGCAATATGAGAGCTCAGTAAAGAAATAACTCCCAGGTTACTGGGGAAGTTTCTGGGCACACTGAATTCTGGAAAGAGCTCCTGAGAAGGTGATCTTTGGACTATGGTCCCAAAGGAACATTGAGACTGAGAAATCAGCATACATGGGCCCAGACAGAAGCCAAGGTCTAGAAGTGGGAGGTATTAAGGTTCAGGACGGAAGAAACAATAAAAGAACTGGCCACGCTTGTGTGGACAGAGATGCAGTTGGGCAAAGCAGTGGATGGGCTGGGCAGGTAGAAGTCAAAACAAGACGCACAGACTCTGGGAGGTGGTTCCTAAGCAGGGTATGCTGCCAGGACATCGGGCTGAGGCTGAGATTCTCCCTTCAGCTGGGGGAAAACTGAGATAGAGACGGAGACAGGGAACACAGAGAAACAGGGAGGGACACGGTGTGTGGGGGGGATACAGAGAGACCTTTGAAGTGAAAGTTCGGCAAAGTTGTAGATAAATTTGACTTTAAGTTGCAGAACAAAGGCTAAAAATTCAAAAAGTATTTCCGTGGATTGAGGAAGACTCCATGTCCAATTGGAAGGAGGTGGGAGGATTTTAGATAAATGGATCCAAGAACACTGGTGAATAGAATCTAGGGACATAGAACTCTTGGAAGAAGAGGTGAGTGTAGCTTTCAAAATGCAGTGATTTGCAGGGAAACAATGCCTTTTACAGTAGCCTCGAATTTTTTTGAGGGGATAACTCTAACCAAGCAAGTGAAAGACTTGTATAATAAAAACTTTAAGAAATTGAAGAAGAGACCAGAAGATGGAAATGTCTCCTGTGCATTGGTTGATATAATGAAAATGGCCATCTCACCAAAGGCAATCTACAGATTTAATGCAATCCCCTTCAAAATCCCAATGCAATTCTTCATAGAAACTGATAGGACAATTTTCAGCTTCATATGGATACACACACACACACACACACACTCACTGGAAAGGCCAACAGTGAACACGGGGCAGAAGATGTCAGCAATCAGCTTCTCCACAGGATGGAGCCAAGCAGAGGCATGGGATGACGGGAGGAGACTCTGTAAGCTGCATGTAGAGCATGTCAAATGGGCGTCTGCAGCTTCCAGCAGAACCCGACAGTCATGTCAGGGGTGAGCGTTAGCGAGGAGTCCTGGTGCTGTGTGTTTGGGATTGTTAGCTCTTCATCGTCTTCTAATAGAGCCCTTCTATTTCAGTTCCCTGAGCCCCTCTGACACCTTGTCTGCAGCTCTGTGTGAATCCGGAGACTCGCCCACCATGCTTCTTAAAATCAAATGTCTGGGTGCCACTTGGAGAGTCTGATTCGTTCTGAGTTGAGAGTGAGGTCCAGAACCTTCCTTTTCACCAAGCCCTCCCGGTGAATGGCATGTGCATGGTCATAGCTCCCCTAATAAGTGGTGACAGTTTCCTAGAAAAATAGTCACCATCAGCACATCCTTAAAAGGGTCCCCGGAGAGTGGCGCTTCTGTTAGGAAGTACAGCACATCCAGCTTGGCCTCTAGGACCTCAGAGGTATCCTGGCACCCTCTTCTTGAGGGCCTATGCTGGGATGACAGAGGTTCCAGGTCGCCACAGCATGGTGCTCTGGGTTCCTAGGAGGGCCATCCAAGATTCACTGGGCTTTGTGAGGTGAAAACTTCTGGTGTGTTGTTAACTCATTGAGGTTTTACTGTCTGTTAACCAAGGCATGATCTATCCTGTATTGGCAAATAGATACCTCTCGCTGGATAATGATTTGGCACGTGCCACGCTGGGGCTATTTCTCAAGCAGTGGGTTTCTACTAGCAGACACAGAAGAATCCTAATGCAGGCAAGACATGCAGGCTTTACAGTTACGGGGAAGTAATAACAAGGAAGAACAGCTTCAGGATTTGGCACTGGTCAAGGATAACACTACAGGCTTCTGGACTACCTGGCTCCGTCCACAATGGCCATTTCAAATCAAGGGGAAGAGAACTATCCCTGAGAGTCTGTAACTCCCCCCCGAGAGATCTCCCTGTTCACCTGACCCGAGGCACCCGGAAGCATAGCATGACCACAGAGGAAGGCCCCACACTTTCCAAGGCCCGGGTCTGCTGTTTTAGAGGGCGCTAAGGGGGGAGACAGCTCCACAGACCTGAGGAAACCTGGGGGGAGTCTGTAGCCCTGGCTTTCTCTCTTCTCCAGCAAGCGCTCCCTGGTACAGCTTTTCCATCTGTGGAGTTACTCCTCAGCTTCCATACACTTTTAAAAAAGTTTTAAAAAAGATGAACCTACTGAAAAACTAGGCCTTTCTCCAGGGCCCAAGACCAGCTCTGCCTACATCACTCTCCTGCCCAGAAGCCATGCTAGTCTGTGGACCGAGGCTCTCTGCCTGCTACCAAAGTTGCCCGGTTCAGTCCCGGGTCCTGTTCACCCTTCAGTCCCCACCCCCAACAGAGACAGTACGGTCTGTCTCAAAGCACCCACTTGCTTTAGCAACTTAACGCTTTTCGTACTTAAGTTTTTAATTGAAGAGCTTCTGAGTAAAAGGAGACCCAATTTCAAGCTGACATGAAGGGAGAAAGTGCTAGCTTTTGAAAGCGTGTTCTGAGGTGAGAAAGAATTACCTACTCAAGCCGTTTCCACCATTCCCGCTCCAAGGCGTCGCTCCCCTCTAAGTGGTCTCAATAGCTCCATCCTGCGCTTTCACTGTGAGCCTGGCTCTCAGGTCTCCATAAAAATGAGAAAGAGGCTTTTTCTGTGCCTCTCCACAGGCTTTTGTGCCTGTCGCTCCCTCATCTGAGCATTTCTGTAGCATTCATTACCGTCACACGTGGGAGCTCTGAAGAGGGACCTCCACGGATGGAAGGAAGGCACTTACACCACTAGAGTTTCAGGACAAAGGACCGGGCTTACTGAAGATATTTCATTGTCTGTGAGGGCCGAACGCCGCTTATGCAATTCAATTAGCATTTCTCAAGAAGCCACCGGCTGGTCTCTCTGAGGCCCAAACAAGGGAAGGAGAAATAGCCTTGGCTCGAGGTCCCACCTTTTATTTGCTCGCTCACGGAAGCCACAAGTTCATCCTTTTGACAAACTAACTTCCGAGTGAGGAGAGAAACTGAGGCAAACGCTGTAGAAGTTGGCCGGGTTCCTGCCACCCCGGTGTTGACTGTACCCTCCACACCCTGTGAGGTTCTGACTATTCCCACCAGCACCTAGAGACAGCAACCTCAGAGTCCTAGCAATAAACCTCAGCTTACGTCCACAACATCATTTAGAGTCACTCCATTTGTTCTGTTTTAAGGGAAACATAATTTCCTTTCTCCTCAGAATGCTACCCTTCTCTGGAGAGGCAGGGAACAGGCGATCTAGAGCAAGGCTCTCTCTACAGGACAGGTCAGAGTGTCCCTTGGCTTAGGGGACACTGAGGGTGACTGCTTTGAACTCCTTTGCCCTCACTGTCGTGGGGCCTGGCATTAAGGTGAGAGGCGGCTTCTGTCCGGCTCACATACAGAGAACCGCACCGCTGCTGGGCACGTGTGCATCTGTAACCCCAGTACCCTGGAGGCTGGGAAAGGAAGATTGTCACGTGTTTGAGGCTAGACTGGTCTACACAGTAAGATCCTATCTTAAAAACAAACTCAACCAAGCCTCCCCGCCCCCCAAACAAAACACACATAGATCCTTCCATCAGTCATTCCTGGACCCAAGATTTGATACATCTCCTGGCTAGTCCTTTTCCATGTGTCCTGAGCCATTGAGAAATGGGGATAAGGCAGACGGTCAGCCTCTAAGCCTACCTAGCACATGGAATGCAGCCAAGACATGCTTCAAAAAGCGGCTCAGCCGACAGTGTGCCTGCTGTGAACGCCTGGCACCCCGAGTTTGACCCTCAGGACCCCCGTAAAGGTGGAAGGAGAAAGCCAACTCCGTACAGTGGTCCTCTGGCCACCGACACGCATGTCATGGCCTGCACATGCCCCTCCTCCACATCACGCGCAGACACAAAGATAATGAGTAAAAACGGAAGATCAGTTCTTCATGACTGCCCAGCAGATTTGCCCAGAGCCGTCTGCTCGTGCTGTACATCTGGTGTAGGGACCCAATTACATCTGACACAGCACGGCCCGTCTCACGGAAGAGAACTCTATCACGTTCGCAGGGTGTTCTTTCCACCTCTTGATTTTCCCCTTTAAAACTGGCGGGAATGAAGAAAACATGCTTGGCCCTAGTTTAGGGGTCACAGACATTTCTAATTACTCAAGTCCCAGTTATTTTCCATGGCCACATTTCTGTGACAATACCAGAAAATAACACTGTCATAATCATATTACAGTTGGTTTGATTCCCATTAAGAACATCTGTGAAAGAAAGAGGCTGCGTTTTTGTAACACGGCACCCTGAGGTGTGCTCTCTGCCCCTGCTCCTCGGCTAGCCCCCTGTGGGTGTTTGCTACACTCAGACCTACCTGTGAGGCAGATGCCCTTGGTGCTGTTGCACAGGTCCACCATCACTCGGATCTGAGAAGACACAAGGTGACCATTAGCAAGCAGCAGGCAGCTCGCTTGGAAGATGTCTTCCATTCAGACAAGCAGAAAGCAGCTAGGAAAACCCACCACGTAAATTCAGGCCAGTACCCACATGTCTGAGGGAAACAGTTAACTAAGGAACGCCGGGAGCGGAGAACTAGTCTTCCCCAGGGAAGAGCACACCAGCTGGTTAGCCAATTCCAAATGGTCAGCCCTAGAAACATGCATGCAAGTAACGGTATACAGACTGAGCAGGGTGTATTTATGTATTTAAGAATATATATGCAGGGGCTGGAGAGATGGCGCAGGGGTGAAGGGCACTGGCTGCTCTTCCAGAGGACCCGGGTTCAATTCCCAGCACCCACATGGCAGCTCACAACTGTCTGTAACTCTGGTTCCAGGATCTGACACCCTCACACAGACATACATGCAGATAAAACACCAATGTACAAAAACATTCTAATAAATAAATTATTTTTTAAAAAGGATATATATATATATATATATATATATGCATATACATACAGGTGTGTAACAACAATTGATGAAAAGAAAAGCCATGAATTTGAAAGAGAGCAGAGGGGTTGATGGGAGGCTTAGGATGAGGAAATGGAAGGGAGAAATTATGTAATTATATTATACTGTCAAGAACAAACAAATGAAAAAACAAAAAACTGAAGAGCAGGCATGGTGGTACAGGCCATCAATCCCAGCTATTCCAGAAGCTGAGGCAAGAGGATGACAAATTCATGGCTTTGTTTGAGCTACAGAGTGAGTTCAAGGCCAGTTTGGCCAACATATGAGACCCTGTATCTAAAGTTACAGCGTGAGGGATACAGCCCAGTGGTAGAGTACTTGCCCAGGGTGCGTGAAACCCTACAGTCAGTCCTTAGTATAGCAGCACACTGCTAAGAAACATTTTTCAAAGACCCCTGTATATCTGATATGAGTTCTTATCTAGAGAATTCCCTGGATTTCCTTCAGCGAGTCTTCACTATGGTAACGATCAGACTCCAATGTCTGAAAGGGTTGACATGTGGGCTTAGTGGTCAGGTGACCAGGTCAGCAAGCACTGATGAGGTATTTAACCTTTCAACAAGCTAGTAATCCACAAAATAACCCGCCTTGAGGGTTGAGCTAACTCAGTCCCTGGCACATGGAAATACTCCTGGTTGGTTGTGTTCCTCGGACCACCGGACCACTGCCTGTCATGTCACAATCACTACCACAGGGGGTGAGCTGGTTGTCTGCCCCTCCACGCACTGCTCGTCTGTTCTTCTGCACTGCTCACCAGAACCACATCAGATGACCTCAGATCCACAGGTTGATATGTTGAAGCGTAAATGATAAAACGCAGGGTACTGGTTGGCATTAGAACAGTGGTGCACAGGCAAAAGCTTTTGTATAATTCTCCACTGATGAGTTTAAGACATACTCCTTTCATTTTTCTAGAACATGTCTGGACACGGAACAGCAACATCAAAATTCACACGAGATGGAGTTCGAGGACCAGGGTGGAAGAATCTGCATTAAGTTTAATATGTCATTTAATTTTTTTTTTAGCTGATTGCTCTTTCATTAAAATTGCTTTTTAAAAAAAGATAATGTTTTGGGTTGGAGAGAAGGCTCGATGGTCAAATGTCCTTGCAAGGACTGGAGTTCAGTCCCCCACACCCATGTCCAGCGGCTTGCAATTGCCTGCAGTCCAGCTCCTGCGCATCCAAAATCCTCTTTTGCCTCTGCAGGCATCTGAACTCAGGTGCACATATGCACACAGACACACACAGATACACATAATTAAAGTTAAAAAAAAAAACCTTTACAAAAAGATTATGTTAGCCAGATGATGGTGGCCCATGCCTTCAATCCCAGTACTTGGGAGGCACAGGTAAAGGGATCTCTGTGAGTGTGAGGCCAGCCTGACTCACAGAGTGAGTTCCAGGACAACCAGGGCTACACAAAGAAACCCCGTCTGGAAAAACAAAACAAAATGAAACAAAAAGGCCTTGAAGAAAAGGTGACTTAGTTTCTCATGTGGGACAGGTCCGTTCGTTAGGGGAGCCAGAGGGAAACTCATCCTGAGTGTGTGTGCCAACAACAGTGGTTGATTGCTGCAGAAAGAGGTTTGCGAGCTACTGAATGTACACCACACACCTACACAAATGTAGAAAAACTTAACTGTGCAAGAAATACAAGTAGTGGGTCTCCATATCTGAGATTCTGCACCCATAAATTTAGCCAACCACAGGCTGAAAAGAGTCACATTTGTACGGAGCATGTGCTATCTTCTTGTCATTCTCTGAATAGCTCACTGCGACCGTGTGCACAGCACTTATCCTGTGTCGGGTATTATAAGCAATCTAGAGATGATTTAAAGTAGGCAAGATGTGCCTAGGTTACATTAAAACACTACATGATTTTATATAAGGGATTTGAGCACCCTAGGAATTTGATATCTAAGAGGGGTCCTAGAATGTATCCCCTGTGGATGCTGGTGTGTGTGCGCTCGCGTGTGTGACATGTTCCACCCTAGGTTAAGGTCTGGAAACTAACCAATACCTTGTAAATGCCTCAGGTACCTCCTCCACCCAACAACTCTCTGAACGGACTCATATTGGGCCGTGTTTGTTTCTAACAGTGCCACGGGCTGTTCAAGGGCACACAACCTTTTTTTTTTTTTTTTTGCGGGGTGGGGGGTGGGGAAATGAGGCTCTGCTGCAGGCCCACTGGACTCTAGTACGGCTTTGATAATTATCATAACATGACCAGACCCCCCACCCCCACCCTGCAAAAAAAAAAATGGATTCACTGCACTTTAGTTATTTTCATAAATGAATGTAATCAGTTACACCATGACAAAATTTATTGTCTTTAAAAAACATCTAATTGCCCATTGAGAGGTCCAGAGAAGACTACAATGGTTCATTTGTTGCCTGGGGGATCACAGCAGAGGCGGTGGTTTGCAAGACGGAGCATCAATAGGGAAAATGAGTCTTTCTTCCTGCTCCTCATTACCGGTCTGGGACAGGCACAGCTAGGAACCGCGGGGAGGGAGTTTTCATTTCCTGACCTGTTAGCTTCGTTTATACGCTGAGTGTCACTTTACGTGTTTCATAGGAACTTCTCAGAAATATTCTCCTAATAAACGTAGGCTCCGTAAGACTGTATTGAAGTGAAACATTCTTCACGACAATGTGTGGCCATGAAGCCAGGAGTGATTTCCCCCCCACCCTGTCACCATGATTAGGAATTTGGGTGAAGATTTTTAAAAATTAAGAATCAAAAGTCACAAAACCTAGATTGTCAAATTAAAAAGTCACACTGGTATGGAGGGCTTCTTGGGTTTCGATCTGGGACTTGAGGGTGTCGAAATAGAAGAGGTCTTGGAAGGCACTTCCTGGGGATGTAGGCAGCCTCTATCTACAGTACATCCCCGTCCCTCCTGCCCATCTCTGTCACACTCCTCATTGCTCTGTGCCAGTCATACTGTCTTACCACAACTTTTGGTTGGCCCCACTGGAGGCTCTGTCAGCCTTGCCCTAACTCCTAGGTGAAGGGACCCACTCCTGTGGCCTTACCTGGCTTTTGTTTTATCTTGGTAGCACTTACTATTACCCAGGGCTACTTATAGATGAAGTTAGTCATCACGTGCTCCGGGCAGGAAAGTGTACAAGGATTTCCGGATTGTAATGCTCGTTGAAACCTGGTTTTGTAGTAAGATGAGGCAAACAACTTTAATAAGACAGGTCATCAATGTGAGACCTGTTATATTAAAGAGCAGTGTGGTGGATCGGAATATACTTTCTGGAAACATAGCTTTGGCACACTGTTAAGCAAGAAAAGCAAAGAGCAGCCCAAGCCATGCAGTATGGCAATGGGTCCCATCAGGGTATCTCTGAATTTCTCCCATGCATGCCTTCTCTTTACTCAGTGAAATATTGTTCAAATGCCAGTTGTGGGGCTGGAGATGTAGCTCAGCTGGCAGAGTGCTTGCCCACCATGCAGGAGCCCTGGCTTCCGTGCCCAGAACTGTACAAAACCAGACTGGAGCAGGTCCCTAATCCCAACAGCTTGGACTACATTAGATTCTGTTCCAATCCCAAAATAAAAAGTCAATAAACATAACTTAGTCCTACGCTTCTTAGACAATGGACACTCTTTATGACTGTCCCTAATTAATGGCGTCAATTGCTATTATGAGCATGTAAACGACCCCACTAGAAAAGCTTCCAGCATCAAATACGTAGCCTGCCATTAACTCAGACTCTTGGGGCTGGAGACAAAAGGCTACATGAACACAGTGTTTCTTACTGGAGGTTCAAAGCACAGATGTTGAAAGACTACCTAGAAGTCTGAAGTTGTGGTCAGATTTTCTGGATTCAGCCAAGAAGGGCAGGCTCTTCCATGTGGCCACTGTGTGAAGATAATTTGCAATCCCAATGGGAACATGCAGCTTGTCTTTCTTTAAAAAAAAATTTAAAGATACCCAGGCCAGCCACCTGCAGCCACCTAACGGAAACTCAGGCCTTCCTCTCCAAACCTAGCCTTAGAAACAAAAATACAATACCAAACAGAAATACAAAGTCCTCGGCAGCAGAGTCGATGAGGTTAAATGAAGCAGCTGAAAGCAGCTGTAGATAAGTCAGCCTAAAGAGCTCCTTGCTTTCCAAGAGAGTATGTGGTTCTGTGTAGAGGAACACACCTGTAATTCCAGCATGTGGGGGGCCGAGGAAAGAGGATCACAAGCTGAGTTCCAGGACAGCTTAGGGGGTGGGGCACACACACACACACACACATACACACACACACACACACACACACACACACACACACACACACACACACACAAAAAAGAGAGAAAGAGAGAGAGAGAGAGACACTACTGATGGACATGAAAAAGTCAGAATACTTTTTTTGTATGTTTTAAAACTGTGATGAAGTGTAAAACAGACTTTGTGCAATTTTTTTTTAGTATAAAGTCTCTTAGCTTG